AGGCAGCTTCCAGGTTTCAATCCCTGATGCAACTCTCTTCTGGCTGGGGGCCATGCCTGTGTTGCTGCTGTTTCTCCCAGCACCCCCCTCTACACCTATGATATGAACGCAGTTTCTGGCTGAAAAATTGCTGAAAGTTTCTTCTATACTGCTCCCATTTCTCCTTACCTCCCCCACCCCTTCCCCTACTGCCCCAAGCCTAGCCCTAGCACAGCTCCAATCTGGCTGAAAGCTGCACTCACCACAGCTTTAAAGACTGGGGAGAGAGGAGCAAGGAAGAATGGCAGCAGCCCAAGCACAGCATCCAGCTGCCCGGCCCTGGCACAGCTCCTCTTGACTCAGCCCTAATACAGGCATAGACACAGGCAATAGACCTACAGCTCTGCAGGCAAGATCTGGCCCATGGCTGCTATGTTGCAGACCGCTACGCTAGGCAGTTTCATCCCCAGGTAGTCATTTTCTCAGTGCCAGATTTAGGCATAAGCTAAGAAAGCTGCAGCTTAGGGCCTCACATTATGAGGGGCCTCAAAAGGGTCAGCTGCCAGACGTGAAGTGACCATGGACCAGCAAACCACGGCCCCACAGAGCCAGGTGGAGAGGCCACAACTTCTCCCGCAGGTCCCACAGCAGCAGTGGTTGAGGTTTGGGCGCACCCTCCCACCCGGGGGGTGAAGGTATCTTTACCTGTGTTCCAGCCATAAGTTCTGGCCACGGGGCTCCGCACGGTGGTCCACAGTTTGCCAGGCCATGGCGGCTTCTGGTCTCCAGTTTGCCAGGCTGTGGCATAGAAAGGTTGGAAACCCCTATTTTAGGGCCCCACCCTGCCATAATCTGGCCCTGCATTTTCTCAATGCAAACTAGTTGACAGGCTCTCAATGACACCTATGAAGGCAGCAAATTGGGAAAACTAGGTGTGTGTCTGCTCCTTGCTACTAAGTTTACTACAGAATAAACATGGGGCCTAATATCTCCTCAGGGAGGGGGACACACAAGAAGATTTCTAAGGTGAAACGCTATAGGACAGAAGACAGGAGAGAGTTGATGCAAACAGCAAATTTGCACAGCATAAAGAAAGAGGTAGTTAGCTGTGTTAGTCTGAAGTCAAGCAGAAGGCAAGAGAGAGATGCACCTTATGGACTAGTTCAATCAGAGATGCTTACGTTTTTCTAAGCCAGAGCCCGCTTCAAGTGCTGATGAAGTGAGCTCAGGCTCACAAAACCTTTTCTATCTCTGATTTAGTTGGTCTACAAAGGTGCATTTCTACCCTGCCTTCAGCATAAAAAAGCCCAGAGAACTGCCTACAGTTGTGACAGACTATCCACAGGTGCCTACTTTTGCTACTCCCAGCTGCAGTCTCCATCTTGTGGCTCTGCAGGGTTTCAGGGTTTTTTGTTTGTTTGTTTTTGGAGGGGGCAGGGAGGTTGACTCCAAGACAGGGGTGGGCAAAATGTGGCCTGCGGGCCAGATGTGGCCTGGCAGGCCATTCTATCCAGCCCACAGGGCCTCTAAAAAGTTTAGAAAATTAATATTTATCTGCCCCTGGCTGCCTGTCATGTGGCCCTTGATGGCTTGCCAAAACTCAGTAAGTGGCCTTCCACCCAAAATAATTGCTCACCCCTGCTCTAAGACCACAGGGGGAGGTGGGTAAGGGAAGGGCCCACTTAGTTCCCCACTTTGAGGGTTTGGGGGTCTCCTGTACCAATTTCTATGGCCAAGTAAAAGCTCACCACCACTAACCTGACACACACAGAACACCACCAATGGGACACAGGTACTGTACTTTCACCTCTGTCTAAGTACGTAAAGCTACAACCTGTATCCCTACAGCTGTGCTAGTACTTCACCTTGATATTGAAACGTTCTCCTTCCAAGCACCACACAAGATAGTAAGGCATAAATTCTGTCCTTGAATACAGACACACCTGCCCTCCCTTTCATACGCACAAGTTCCCCCAGTTCCCATGGAAGTAATGCTTAATAAGCACCCCAGAGGGTGGCTGATTAGAAGAAGCACAGTGCTTTTGTTTCAGAGCATTCATGCTAGTGGGAACGTCTTGTTTACATTGGGCATGCTCAAAGCCTTAATACAAACATAAGTGTTAGTATTCACCTGACAACAGTGTATGTTGCTACTCCCCGTACTCATATTACCTACCCTTGTCACAAGAGGTTTTTAGCCTCAAACTGGCACCTGAGCGAAGAACCTTCTCTGGCTAATAGATCTGTGTAACTATTCCCTTGATATTTAACCTGCATATCATATTTATAATCAGAGGCATTTTAATACTTCCTACCCTCCTGCTTTATCTTCATTTCAGCCAAATCCTGGAATCTTAACTCACCCCAGATTCTTACAATGGACAGTACACCCAGATTGCCACATTCTTAGTACCCCAGTTTGTGGGAGGACGATGTTCTCCCAACCCTGTGCTCAACCAGAGGAATCATTCTTGTGATGGTGCTCTTGTAAAACCTGAAGCCTTATAACCCCTAAGGGCCAAGCGTACACATTGGGAATTAGACGTCTGAGCAGCAATCCTCAGTCTGGGCAACTCGTACCTCTCAGGTTTAAGGGTCTGGCACTCCCCTTGTCTGCCTTTCATTTGGTTTCTGGATCAGGTCTGCCTGCTGCAGAGATAACAGGTGGGGCCTCCATGACTCAGATACTTTGAAGAGAACAATCCATCGGAGAATGCGTACATTCCTTCCACCACACAGAGATGTACCACAGAACTCAGCACATCAAAAGGAAAGCATTTTCCTAAACAGTTCTCTTTATTAGGCATGTCTACATGTTGCCCTACAGTGACGTTGTTACTGTGCTGTGCTTTAGGACTTCCACAAGGAAGTAACAGCCCATACTGTGCCGTGCGTGGGGTGCACAGTTATTTTTAGCAGTTACTTCACCATAGCAGCACGCTATAACTGAGGAGCACACTGCTATGGCAAAGTAGCTGCTGGTTACATGTAGACATCTGTGGATGCTACGTTGCTGGAGTGTGTCACTATGGCGACGTAGCGTCAGTGTAGACATGCCCACTGCCAGGTCTTGAGGGAGTTAAGCTAGCACTGACAAGGAGGGTGCTAGCTATTCAGCTCCTCAGCTTTGACAAACCTAGTTTCCAACAGAGACACAGAGAAGGGGACTTGGGACAATGCTCACAGTACCTTCCCTTTCCATAGACTCCTGGCAGGGTCAAAGTGATGCTGAACACTTTCACTCTCTGCAATATTCTCCATGAGTCCAATTGAGTGACTTCTCTGCTGCCCTTTCAGCAACTCCTTCGCCAGCCATTCTGGGAGCTGAGAGCTTTCTTCTTGCACATCTTCTGAGAAGCTGCCCAAGGAAACTGGAGATGCACCTCGCAACCTGCGGCCTCCTACAGAAGTCTGAGCACGTCGAAATGAAGGGTCTGCCACAGCTTTTGACTCTCTTAGCTCATCAAGGATACTGTTGAGACACAAAACAGTGAGCCACAATTGGGGAAGACCAGCGCATTCCAAACACTCAGAAGCCAAATGATGGTTTTCATCTGTTGATCTCAAGCCACTTCAGACAGTGAGAGGAAAATGGCAAAAAAAGACTTTTATACATGAAGCTGGTGATAGGGAAACACAGGCTACCTAGTTCCTAGGCCAGGGGTGGGCTAAATACAGCCCGTGGGCTGGATCCAGTCCACCAAGCCATTCTATCTGGCCCATGGGGCACTTAAAAAGTTTAGAAAATTACTACTTATCTGTTCCTGACTGCCTGTCAGAGATGACAGGAGCCAGGAGCAGTAGGACCCAGGGGCAGCCAGCAGCACTTAGGAGAAAGGCCAGCCCAGCCCCGCCCCTGCCCTCCCCCCACCCAGAAGCCTCTGCCTGCAGCTACTTTCCCTGCTTCCCTGCATGCAGTTGCTCTAGCACCACATGGCCCCAGGCTGCATCACTGGACCACAGGGTCAGGAGCTGGAGGGTATGTGTATGTGTGTGTGTCTGTGCAATGAGGGGGTGGGGAAGAGAGAGAGAAAGAGGGATACAAGTGTGTCTAGTGAGGAAAGCACACATTGTGTGCATGTTCGTAGAGTGAATCCCACATGCATACCTCACCATACACATGTATCCACACCCCCCTTGCACTGCCATACATGCAGACCCCCACACCCATAAACCCTCACACACCCCCAACCACCCTTCCCCACAAACCCCACATATCCACACACCCACATGCTCCCTCACCCCACACACCTATCCACTCCCCCACAACCCCCACACACAGCAACATACTCACACACCCACAGCCCCCCAACAAGCCTATGCCCACCCCCCATAGTTTACAAGAGTAAGACTTCATTTTAAGCTATTGTGTGATCACCTATGCACACTATACAAACATGTAAATCAAGACAAAAATATTTTTTTAAATGAAATGAATGAATATTGTAGATGTTTGATTTTTAGAATATAATTTAGTATTTTTCTGGTTCTTAGATGGCAAAACCCCTTGCTGACAGGAGTACTGCTGGGGGCAAGGGGAGGGGCGTCTGGTGGCAAAGGCCAGGGGGTGGGGCTTCTGGTCCCAAGATGTCAACCAGGGGTAGGGCACCTGTCAAGGGGTGGGGCTACACATGCAGCCCTCGACAGCTTGCCAAAACCGAGTAAGTGGCTCTCCGCCCAAAATAATTGCCCGCCCCTGTCCTAGGCTAATGTCCTAACTTCTGCCCTCCTGGGCTCTGGCATACCCCTACTTCTTACTTTTGTTGCACGGAAAAGTCATTTAAAGGAAAGAGGTGGGAGATGGAACACACCATCACTTTGAGGAGGGCCTGGTGTGACAGAACACTTCAGATAGTACATTTTCCTCAGCAAGGACTAACCCTATTATTTCAGTGCGATATAAAACCCATGTGCCCAGGGTCCAGTCCTGCAGTCCTTCCTCCAGCCAGCTCCTACTGCCTGCTTCCACTGTCTGCTGAATACATTTGCAAACAAATTTCTGCTTCCTCTCATGGCTAGGAGGAACTTCCTATAAATATCAGCAAAGCTACCCATTTTCCTTCCCAAATTCCTCCTTTAAACTCCCCTCAGCCATGATGCCACTGAAAACTTGACAAGAGTTAGGTGGCAGGTGTTTCAAGACCACTGCCTGTTATAATGGCTAATTGCCTCATTGTTGCCTTGTATTTCCTACCTTTGTCTTATTCTTAAGTTTTGAAGCTTTTGAATTAAAAAGCATCTCTGCTTTTTGTTTGCAAGAAAAAAGGGGAAGTAACTACTGGCAATAAGTAAGGGCACTATTACGAAAGGGTAAAAACACCCAGGGTTTTTTAAATGAAACTGAAGTTGGTTCCGTGTTCCTGGTTTCTAGTTTCTTATTCAGTGACTAAACAGAGGGCACAGATGTTAAAGTTGTGGCAAAAAGCTTCCTGCAACAAAGAAGCTACTTTTTGAAACAGCATTTTTTTTGTCCTAGATCCACCATTTTGTATCTGATCAGTCATTTTCTCAGAAGAACAAACTGTGAACATGGAGCTGTCCACTTTTATGAGGCTTTATATGCTAGTTTAGTGGGACAAAGTGTAATGTCTGCCATAGCCCTGAGACACCTCTGGACAAAACTTCATAATACATAGTTTCCTCTTTCTATTTTGTATTAGCTCTTGGTAATAATCATACTGCATGTGTAGAAATGAACAAAAACAAAATTAAAACCAACTTACTAGAAATCCAAAAGGACAGTTATTACACAAATTAAATGGATAGTTAGAGATTAAAAAGTCAATAAAGCCCTGGTTTATCCTTAATTAGGAAGAGTGATTATAACTCTTAGAAATAAGAGCGTTGGTTAGCATAGTGCCTTTTGCATATTGCAGAACAAACAATTTTAAAGAAAGTACATAGAAAGTAGGCATGTTTACTTACATGTACAAGCATATAAGAACTATTTTAATAGCTTATTGTTGTGCATTTTATGACAAAAAGTACAGTAAGCACTACCAGAAGATACAAACTGCTTAAAGGGATATCACCCTATTCCCAAAAACTACAATTAATTGAACCTACAGGTTAATTGCATGACTGAGAGACTCCAACAACAGCAGTGAGACTTGGTACAATTTTTTTTTTTCCAAAGAATTTTGAAAATCTTCATCTTTTAATTCAACTGTGGAATTATTAGTGCTCGTTTTCAACAAGCTTATAGAAATATACCAAAGGGTTCCCAGTGCTGTGTGCTATGCCAGCAGTTCTATATCTGTAACATGTAATACTTTTGCTTTAATAATTTCTACTTTTTAACACCAACTGCTGAAGCTTCCTTAGCCTGACGAAGGGTTTTTGAACCCAAAAGCTTGCTTAATAACCATTCTCCAACCATTTGGGTTGGTGTAATAAAAGATATCAAATTCACCCAAGGAACCTTGTCTGCCTATGTCCTTAGACCAACACGGCTACAGCCTAAACCCCTACAAATTTTGATGATCTTTCTTGAATTAACTGGTATTTTAAATACCATTTTATGTATTAAAGGTGGCATTCGAGTAACATGGGAAATACTTACTGTGAAGGAAATGAAGGATTTTCTGTACAAATTTTCTCCTGACCTAAAACCATTTTTGACTCCGATATTGGAATATAGTATACAGTGTCTCCATTTTAAAGGGATGCAAGACTGGCAGTCTCACCAGTGACATAATCAAAGATAATTTCCCAGCTCCGGTTGAGTCTTCCCCTATTTATATGTCAAAGGATCACATTTGCCCTTTTTGCCACAACTTCATTCTGGGAGCACCCATTGGGCTGCTGATCCACTATGAGCCATACATACTTTTCAAAATAATTGCCTTCCAAGACAGAAAAGGTTCTTTGGGTAAATTCAATATTGTTTATTAAACCAACTCAAATAGTTGAAAAAAGTTCTTCTTTGCAAGCTTTTGGGTATAAATACCCTTCATCAGGCTGAGGAAGCACCTGCAGATTGTCTGTGCTCTTTCTGGATAGAGTGGTAAAGCAACCAGAGGCCAGTATGTATGCAAGAAAGCCAGTCTGTTAAGATGTAAATTGAAGTGGTCAGTAGGTGAGAGACAGGTGGTGGGGCAGGGAGAAGTGAAATGAACGTAGCTGTAGTCAATAGGTGGGGAGGGGGGGAGCGAGAATAGCTGGTAAAAAGTGAAGGATTTACCTGGGGAGTCAGATGTTAGACAGGTTATAATGTACCATAAATCTAATGTCTATATTTAGTCCACGATTTTTTGTATCCAGTAGGTTGATGAAGTGAAGTTCATAGGCTGATCTGTGAAAGGTGTGTTGTAAATTCCCTTTGAGGATTAGAATTGAGAGATTGAAGAGAGAGTGGTTATCTTGTGAGAAATGTGCCCCCACAGGTAATTGGGTATTCTTGTCTTTGATAGATTTTCAGTGTGCATTCATTCTGGTGTGCAGTTGTTGTTTAGTTTCTCCTACATATTTTCCATCAGGGCATTTAGTGCACTGGATGAGATGTATTACATTTCTGGAGGTGCAGGTGTAAGATCCAGAAATGGTGATGGTTCTGTTGTGGGGTGTAGTTATGATGGGTGTGGTAGAGATGTGTTGGCAGGTTTTACATTTCTTGACATGGCATCCAAGATATACTTTATCCTTCCATAAGTACAGCCCTCATTCCTCCTTTCTAGAAGTAGACTTTCATTTTTGCCATATTCAATTTTGCATATTATAGCACCTTTTATCTGACCAAACCCAGGCTATTAAGCAATCCATATCACCGTGTACAATTGCCTTGCCCTCATTTACAAAGACTGGCACAGTGTTAAATATTTCCTCAAAGCTGTATCAGCAATACGTTTACTTCTAGATTGCTACATAAATGCCGAATAGTGCCAAGATTATTTCTAACCCCTCCCCACCATTGGAACGCCCCCTTCAGTGATTATTTCTTATTGACAGCTGCATTTTGAGATGCCAGTCCTACACTACCTAATCCTTTTAATGTATGCCCTATTGATATTGTATATTGCAATTCAAAACTAGCAATATGAGGAGGCACAAAATCAAACTCATTGCAATAATCTAACACATACGCAATTGCTTCCATCAGTTAACTCACAACTTCATTACAGAATGAAATCAGGTTTGACAACACCTACTGTTCATTAAACCCTTAACTACCTGTATCAATTTGACATATTTCATACTCTCTAATGTATATTTCCTGTTTTTACTGTTATATAATATATATAATATTATTATTATTTGGTGATCTCTGCCCTTTTGGTGCATCCAGAGACTTCACATGCTACCTCTGTTCAGAAAGTTGAGGGTGCCTGCCACTCAGCCTTCATCAAGACAAACTGATGCATCTTATTTGGCCTATTCAGAAACTCACAGCCATGGACACAACCAACAAATATGCTGTTATCTTCTGAAACATGCAGTTTTGGCTTCTGAGACTCCCTTGCTTGCCAGTACTAGTGCACTGCTAAAGGTTGCATGTTTTGGGAGTAAGAAGACTTGAAATATGGATCATTTCTTTCCACTAAGGAAAAAAGCAAAAAAGCTTTGGGGCAGAAATAGGCATGTCCCAGCTACTTCAGAAAAGTCCAGTGATCACAGGGACATGTGATTAGAGGCATGGGTGACTGGTGCCTCCTGAGTCAGAGGGGGCACTTGCCTCCCAGCGGTCAGTCAGCGACCGGAGGGCGGCCCCTGCAGCCAATCCTGCCAACCCGCAAGTGGCAGCGGCATGCCACTGGCAATTCCAGGCATGCTGCTGGCACTTCCAGGTGAGTGTGATCAGCTACAGGGGGGACCGGTTCTTCTGGCACCCCCGCTCCCCAGCCAGTGCTCTCAGGGTGGGCACCACCGCTCTCACCTGCCTCCCCTGCCCGGGAACACTGGCTGTGAGGGGGTGCTTCAGCACTCTCAGGGGGTGCACATGCACTCGCTACGTGTTTCCACTGATTAGAGGTAACTTAGAGACACATTCTGTCACATATAGCCAGTCACATTACTGTTCTTTAGTAGAGCGCTGTACATAAGAGAAAAGTGAGATGGTATGCAATACAGCAGCATATTGAATAGAAGGAAAACTGAACCAGGGCAGAGTCCATCTCAGCCAATTCAAGCCTATTTGTTATGCACAGAGAAATGTGGACCTAGGACCACCAAAAGAAGTATAAGCCTCCATTAATCCTGGAGGCTAGTAAAGGCATAACAATTGATTGCTTGGGACAACTGAAGATAAAACAGGGGCTGGTATACAGGTCACAGGTTACTAAAGAGTGCTCCAATCCCAGCCTATGCAGGAGGTGTTCCTGATGGTGATCCAAGCCAGTTTGTTGTATGCCAGCCCATGATAACCCAGCTCCTTACTGAGCACCATGCACAAAAAGAAAGCAGGGGAGGATCTTGAAATGTAGCAGCATATTGCTCAAGAATGACACTTGAAATCAGAAAGTGGCCTGCCCTGGCTACACCGGACCCAGCTGATGGTTACAGGGGTGCATTACTGGGACAGACCTGAGAGATCCTGTACCATAGGGCCTTTCAAACCCCAGTTCCTTATTTGAATAAATTATTAAATAGCTACTAAAATGAATTGTTTGACTAATTAACCTTATTCCTTTTAATGATATTGTAGAGATTTAATCTTATATTGGCAATCTTTTTTTTGTTTGTTTTAAACGCCCTTTCAATGAGGAACCGAGACCTACAAACCTGGGACGGGTACGACAAAGAAACTGGGAACAAAACCAAAACAACCAAAACAAAATTCTTCAACTTAATCAGCAGGGATCTGGGTTTTCTGATTCCCACAGAAAAACACAGTAAACCACAGATTTTACCTTTTACCAGAGGCAACCAGATCTCTCATTTTACTGGAGACAGCTGCTGATTTTGAAGTTTTGTGACAAGCCCTCACAGGTTTGCAGAAGTCAAGCCTGCAGGGGGCTGGGAGGGAGCAGTGCCATGTGCATGCACATGACCCCAGGCAGCCTGGAGAGCAGCTCCTGCAGGTAAATTGTGAAGGGGGCAGGGATTGAGGCCCCCATAGGGAGGGAAGGAGTTGGGCAGGGCAGGGCAGGGGCTGGGGATGCTGCCCAGTCTGGCAGTGCCTGGGGCTGCAATACACAGTCGCAGGGCCCTGGCGGGGAGCAGGACAGGGCTGAAGGTGGCCTGTCTGGCAGGTAGGGAGGGTAAGGCTGGCTCCCCGCCACAGCATGCACTCCCAGGGGGTAGAGGGGACCCATGCCCCTGCAGATCTCTGCACAGGGCGGGCTGCCCACTGCGGGCTCAGGCAGCAGGGAGGGCTGCTCCCTGCCACACTGCCCACTCCCAGAGGGCAGCAGGGACCCGTGCCCCCAGGTCTGTGCACAGGGTGGGGGCTGCGCACTGTCCACTTCAGGCTCGTGCACCTGCTCGTGCAGCCCTCCCCTGGGGCCTCTGCAGCTAGCCGCGTGTACCTGGCACCGCAGGGAACAGTGGGGCAATGCAGGGAAGCTGCCTGCCGCAGGGAGCTCCACACTGCCCATGTGCCCTGCACGCAACCCCGCGCTGCCACCCCAGCTGCAGCCAGGACAGCATGGAGCTTGCAGGGGCAGGCAGCTTCTTGTTTGGCTCTCCTGTTCCCTGTAGCACCGGGTCCTACATGCCAGGCTGCAGAGGCCCTGGGGGAGGGCAGCAGGGCAGGAGCCCACAGCCCCTGCCCCATGCACAGATGTGAGGGGCATAGGTCCCTCTGCCCCCCTGGAGTGTGTGCCAAGGCAGGGAGTAGCCACCCCTGCCTGAGCCCGCAGCAGACAGGTAGCAAGGGGGCATCTAGGCTGCACTCCGCGGCAGCAGCTGCCTCCTGCCAGGGGCAGGGGGCTGCAAGCCCAGGTCCCTGGCACTGTCCCTCTGGCAGCTGGGGGTCCCCTGTGGCAGGGCTGGGGGAGCAGGAGCTGGGGGAGGGGGTGAGAGGTAAGAGCAGGGCTGGGGGTGGGGGCTTTCATTTTAATCGTGGATTTGGGGGGTTTTAATCAGACAACTTGCAATTTTTAAAAAAGGGAAAACCAGGATCCCTGTTTATCAGATACATGGCATCCCACCCCAGAGCATCTACCTCAACATCCCTTCCTTTAAGCCTCCTCCGTCAGTCCTAAGCAGTGGCTGATTTTTCAGTATTTCCTCTCAGCATTCAAACTAGCAGCTTTCTTCTTTGGTAGCAAGTGGTCCAGGAAGATACTAATGAGAAAGCTGTACACGGCAGAGGGAGAGCTGGTGGAACAAAGCAAACCCTCACTTGTCAGAAGGGCTACCTTTGGATCTGACAATGCTCAGGCTGAGAACTTAACATGCGAGAAGCCTCCAGCGAATGGTTTCCTACAGGAAAGCCTGAGCTTTTGAGCAGGAGCTGCAGCACTGGTGCCTTGACAACAGTAAACAGCCTTCAAACAGCTCTGAGTTCTGCCAAGAGAAGGGCAGCCTGCTCCCTTGGACCCAGCCTGCTCCCACAGATTTTCTGAAATCTGAAGTGGGGGTGGACACAGCATCTTGAAAGGAGGCAGAAGGGGACCCTCTTACCTGCTAAGGCTGAATGTTTCTAACTTCCCTGAGGCAGAACTTGGCCGCACTTTCTTCCTCTGAGACATGATAGCAGGAAAAATCTTCAGGCAGCGCCACTAGCTGCAGAGTCTCTCCAGATCCTATCCAAGACCCAGGATGGGAAGGAAGGGCTGTACCTCCAAATTGGGCTGCTCTCCCAGTGCTTGCAACTGCTCTCCTGGCACCTCCCTCAGGCTATTGGCATCACATGTGAAGGTGTTGATTACACAGTGCACACAGAGCTGGAAGGAGGGGAGCTGGGCACAGGCAAAGCCCTCCTTCTTTGGTCCGCTTGATGGGAACCACAAACCTGCTTCTGTTGACTCTGCATCCTGAACTGTTGTGCGCACTGGGCTGAGGTTTACAGAGACCACTGCTCTGCTCCCCTCAAAAGAGGGAGAGAGAAGAGAGGGGTTTATCCCTTGGTGCTAATGCCAGTGAACAAACGACTACAAAAAATACCACAAATGCTCTTTTGAAGAGGTTTTTAAAAAAACAGAACAAAACACTGACCCAGTCACTGCAGTCCCAGTACAATAAACAGAACTTTAAAGATGCCTAGTTTTTTTATGCACTAAAAATGCCTGCCTTGAATGATTTTCCCCCTTTTGCTGTTCATTAAAACTAGAAAAGATTTTGTTGCAAGTACTCTAACTTGCTTTGACTTTCCCCTGATCATGTTTCAAAAGATGAGTAAAGAGCAAGGTTTCCAAATTCTGAATATTTTAAAGAAAAAGCCAATTCCCTCATGTGGAGTTCCCTAAGTGGAACATTGCAACAATTTTAAATTAATATTGTTTATGTATGTTGTGCCTACAAACTAAGGTAATAATCCAGAAAACACTTATGCATGTACTTACATGGAAATATAAATGTGCTTAAGTCATTGTTCTTCAATTGCGTGTTTAAATTTAGGCGGGCACATACATTTGCAAGACAGGGTTGCAATCTGAAAATAACACACCAAAGGTGAAGTTACATTTCAGTGTTCTCTGGGTTATGAATGTAATAATTTGTTAATATGCCTTCACATAGTAAGAATCAGTTTTCCAACAAAATAGAAATCATCCAATCAAAATATCTTATTTAAAAAGGTACATGGTATCGAGGGCCACAAGTACAGCTTAACAACATGTAGTTTAGAGAAAGACAATCAAAGACATGGTGGATAAATGACATACATTGAAGTACAAATCAGTTCTTAAAGTCATTAGCTTCAGGAATTTGAAATACCCTGACCATGGTATTTCAGTGGGCCCAGTGGGGTCCCGCAGCGCTCGGTCCTTGGACCAATACTCTTTAATGTCTTCATCAGCGACTTGGACGAGGGAGTGAAATGTACTCTGTCCAAGTTTGCGGATGACACAAAGCTATGGGGAGAAGTGGACACGCCGGAGGGCAGGGAACAGCTGCAAGCAGACCTGGACAGGTTGGACAAGTGGGCAGAAAACAACAGAATGCAGTTCAACAAGGAGAAATGCAAAGTGCTGCACCTAGGGAGGAAAAATGTCCAGCACACCTACAGCCTAGGGAATGACCTGCTGGGTGGCACGGAAGTGGAAAGGGATCTTGGAGTCCTAGTGGACTCCAAGATGAACATGAGTCGGCAGTGTAACGAAGCCATCA